TGTTGTGTGTTGTGTGTGCGTGTGTGCGTGCCCAAAGCTGCGTTGTGCATGTTTGTGTGGTGTAGTGAAAGCTGTGTGCTGCGTGCTGTGTGTTGTGTCGTGCATGTCTGTGCGGTCTCCCAGTGGCATTTAGTGGCGCCGCATTCGCCAGAGCTCTCTGCAGTCATCCCTAGTGTCGTTTAGAGTCTTCCAAGGGTTGTTTGTGTCTCTGTGTTGTGCGTTACGTGTGTGTGTGTTGTGTGTTGTGTGTTGTGTGTTGTGTGTTATGTGTGTGCGTGTCTGTCTGTGTAGGCATGAGGGGTGATGGTGGAGTGGTGATGGGGGTTACGGTGATGGTGATCAGGGTAGTGATGAGGATCAGGGTGAGGATGAGGTGAGCAGGAACATGAGCGGCGGGTTGGCGACAAAGAAAACAAAACCCCCACAGTGATGTGGGGAAAATATATGCATGTATATGTGTGTATATATAGGTACATATGTACATAATTATGTACATAGGTACTTTATTATATGTATCTGTATATGTCTATGTATACGTATATGTATCTGTATGCGTATATGTATACGTATATGTTTATGCGTGTGTGTATGTGTATGTACATGTGTATGTATATGTGTGTATGTGTGTACACAGACAGACAGCAGGAGAGACAGAGAGAGCAAGAGAGCGAGCGAGTGAGCGAGAGAGATAGAGAGTGAGAGCGAGAGGGCTTGAGCCCTGAAAGCCTTGAACGATTCCATTTAAGCTGGCGACTGGCTTCGCACTGAAGGCATTGTGAGCAAGCGCCGTTTCAACTCGAGAGTGTTGCACGGTTCGAGACAGACCCTTTGCCGAAGTTTCGCAAGTTCAGACGCGTAGCCCAAGCTTGATGCTCCGTCGCGAATTGTTAACCTGAAGCTCCCGATCTTGAACCCTGAACTTAAAGCCTAAACCGAAACCCTAGGCCCGTCAGTGCACCGACCAGGTCACAAAGCTGAAAAAGGCGAAGGTTGATGATGACGATGGCTGGTTGCACGACAGCAGTGCAGAGCGGTCCAGAAGGGGTGGATGGGTGGGGGCATCGTGCAGCAAAGGATCTGGGGTTTGGGGTTCAGGGGTTGGGGTGGTGGACAAGTGCAGAAATGTTGGTGCCTCTCTACCATGAGCTTGCTTTCTGCTAGAAAAGAGTGTGATCGACGATGGCACGTCAGCTCTGACGAATGCCGACTGCCCAGGTAAGTGAACAGCGCCCAAGACTTCTCCGATGTGAATAGTCCTGCAGGATTGTCCGGTGCTTTGCACAAAGCTTCACCTATTGATTCATTTCAGGTTTCCGTGCCTGGCATGTCAACATGCCATTCAGGGGTTGTAGAATTGTTTGTAGAATGACGATATGGTGTTTCAAGTAATGCGGTTGACCTGAAGCTTAATGGCTTCTTGTCCCTGTGCCGAGATTGATCTCGATGCAAGGGACGTTTCGCGTCTCCGTGCGCCAGCTTGCCAGCTTCACTGAAAGGCGACGCAATTGCGCCGCCTGGATCAGACATAAACGAGATTTCAGAATTTCATGGCTTCTGCCAAGCCTACAGAGTCGCTGGCCCCATAAAGCTCCGATTTTCAGACTTGATGAGCAGTTCTCGGCCATCATCGAAAAGCCCGAGCTCAGGCGCTTACAGCCCAGCCCTGCAGTCGCTGAGTTTTTCGTTCGAGACAAAGCAAGAGCTGCGTCCTGTGTGTCGCTGCCTGGCTCCTTCAGCAGGACAACAGCCTCTCCATGAGCTTCGCTACTCTGACATTTCTGTGACACCTTGTGACTTAGCGAGAACCCAGTGATGCACACCTAGTCAGAGAACCCAGAGGAACACGCATTTTGCATCGAAGACATGAGAAACACTGGCGACAGCCTGGCCATAGATTTAGTCATCACGATCACGGACGCGCCTGTGACATCCTGTGGCCGCACTAGTAAGGAGGAAAGCCCTTCTAGATTCTAGTGCAAATTCAGGAGTGACAGGAAGAGGTTCATCTTGTTTCGAAGGGTCCCGCCATGTAGGGTTGCCAAGCAGAAAACTATGTGATCAGTGAGGGAAGCTGTCGGTGCCAATGCGGATGCGGGCGCGAAGGCACGCTCAACATCATGGGATGGCTGGCGTTACTCTGGCTCCTACCTCAAGGAGGCCCCGGACGAACTCGGTTTTTCTTAGGCTCAAGACAGTAGAGGACAGTCACCATGGTCAAGAGATCTGCTACTATTCTCCTAAAGTCAGCATCATCAAAGTTAGGTAGCACAGTCATCAGAGTCAACCGCCTCGTCATCTTCATCAGTCATGATTCATGGACATCATGAGCGTCAGTGCGGCTTCCTTTGGGTTCTGGGCAGAGCTGAGTGTTTCGGATGGCGCAGTCGTTGCGATGTGTCCAGAGGTTGGACTCTCAAGGATCCAAGGACTCTTCCTCGGAAGTAGAATAGAGCGGTCGCAGCGATGATGGCCGGAATTCAGTTGCAGTGATCACGCCAACTAGCTATGATCGAACCACTGGAAGTAGTCATAATCGTGGTGGTACCGTGAGGATGAGGGAGAAGGTAATGCTCATCACAGTACTGAGGATGTAATGACAGTCAGCAATGGCGCAAACACGGCTTGACCGCAGAAATCGCACTAGCAGCAACGGCATCGATGCCATCAATGGTCACAGTGGCAAAAGGCCTGCCTGAATAGTCACAGTGGTCATGGGGTCGCAACTACGAATGTTGGTCAGGTTGAGAGCAGGCGTTTCAACAATAACAGAAGCGCATCAAGAAGAGCAACAACTTCAAAAACAAGACCAGCAAACATACCAGTACATGAAAAACTCAGATCAGTGAGATCGGTAAGGAAAGTGAATTTAAGGGCCAGTGTCTGTGATTTTGTGTGCTGGCTGGGGTAAGTAGGCTTGTGACCGGCCGGTCGGCCACAGAGAAGGTTGCTGGAAAATAATTCAAATACTGCAATTTGAAATAGTTGATTTGTGAATTGCAGAAAAGTTGTAGGGATAGTTGCCGAAGTAGTTGAAATAAAGTTGCCGACATAGTTGAAAAATCGATGGAGGGTTATGGCAGCTTTTTTTCAACGGTTTTTCAAGTTTTTCAACTGTTTTTCAATTTGTCCCGTTAGGGAAAAAGCTGGATTTCCCTCCCGCTCCTGCGCCCAGGTTCCCTGAGCTCAACTTTTTTTCAACTTTTTTCTTGAACAAAGCTTGAAAAAGTTGAGCCTTGTGTCATCAACTTTTTGGTAACCTTCGAATCAGCTTTGTTCAACTTCTTGTCACTTTATAATTTTATCATCATTCTGTGATAGCCCAGCCTGTGCCTGCCCAGCGCCTGTGACAAAAGTCGGGGCAGGAAACCTTTTAACCGATAGGTTCCCACAGCGTCGCCTTCTCAAAGTCGGGCTAGGAGAGAAGCCGTGATCCCTCGCCGTTGGCAAGGTCTTGGCCTCGAAGGTCCGTGGATGCTCCAGGAAAAGTGGCAGCCCCAGGGTGGTTACAACGACCACAGGAGGTCTGCATCGCCACCTTTGTTGGAATGGCTTCGGGGCTTATGCGCCAGCTGGGCTATGCCGGTAGAAGGTGCGGCACATGTAGCAATCTATGATTTCGGGTTAACTCAACCATCTCATACCTCGCCCGAGGCTGCAGAAGGCCAAAGAGCTTCTGGAGATTGCGTTCCGTCAGCCCAGCGCGTGACACTCGGATCTTCGACAGCAAAAGTTGTGGGTGAAAAAGCAGACAGGTGGTCGTGATGCGTGGTAGCAGTCGCAGTACACTGCTCTTCGCTTTGGCATCAGCAGCAGGCACAACATGACTGCGATGACCTCGTGAAGCCAAGAGCACCTGCCGTCCGCTTCTCGCGAGGTGGTGGATGTCACGGGAGTCAATTCCATCATCACGGCTCTTGGGCACCTCGAAGAGGCAGGGTGGCAGGGTGCGTTTCATCTTCGGAAATTTCGGAGCCCAAAGACTTGGTGTAGGGCTTGTCGTATTTAGTATGCCGCGGTTGTTTGGTGTCGAGCAGATCGCAGAAAAGCGCTTGTTCAGATGAGCCGGAAGACACAAGGATACCTGCTCCACAGAGGATTTCGGTCTTCCGATAGCCGGGTTCATGCAAGGATTTCATCAACTATGCATACTGACTCACTCATCGCAACCACGACAAGAACCTGACTTGGCGCGGCGACGACTGCGAAGGTTTCGAACGTTGTCACGAGTGGCACGACAACGGTTGATGGGGATTCGTCATGATGATGATGATGATGAAGAAGAAGAAGATGGTGAGCATGAACCCAAGTAGATGCCGCAGCCATGAAGGCAATAATGTGAAGGTGTCTTGCAAACAACCAACCGTATGCCTTGGTGCCAATCACCCGGAGTTTTGGCAAAGTTGCGAATGGCTGTAATTCACATAGGTCGAGTCGGGCAGCCTAGAGGCCATGACTGAGCGTGGACCATGCATGGCAAGAGCACATTCAGCAACCATACCTGGAACGTCCTTGGCCTGATCTTCAATTTTCATTCCTGAACAGAACGATTTCAGCTGCTCCTTAGTTTTTGCAGATTGGCCAGCGCACGACCCGGATTATGCAAGCAGGCAGGGCTCCAAGATGTGAGCTTAGCGGCTTGTGATTGGGGTGCGAGGGCAAAGTTCGTCTCATTGATTTGGTCGTGCCGTTGTCTAGCTCTCCAGCCTCTCCAGCTAGGGACGGCTTCCAGGTTAGAGGTTCGATTTACTTCGTGAGGGTCCGTCTTTGACCATCGACTGCTCGTGACGGACTGCCTTGCTTGTGGTGAGGATATGTCAAGTCGCTCTACGATTCCGCAGGCTCGGTCGCGAGACTTCGCCTCACGGGCTGTGGAGTTGGGGCTTGAATAGTATTCTGTTGGAGTCTGCATGGAGCTGACTAGGAAGGGCCCTGGAGGACTTTCACCTTTTCTGTTGGCCCTTTAGCCGACGTGCGACTTGCTTGTTCCAGCATGCGGAAAGGCGAGCTGGTCTACGAGCTCTCAGACAGTGATCAGTTGGCGGTCCAGGACTTCGATGTGTTTTTTGGCTGAAGCCCCCCTTCTCGCAGCTTTCGGACAGTTTTCAGGGGGCCCAGTGAGAGGAGTACACCTTGAAGTACATCTTCGTGCTTGGGGACCTCCTCCCGCTCGTGCTCATGCAGCCCGAGGCCTCGTTCCCCAGTGGGTGCTTCTTTCTATGGAATTACCAATAATACAAGTAGCAATAGCAACAGTAAAGATAATAGCAGCAACAGTAACAACAACAATGATAATGGGCATAATTTGGCATAATCGTAACAGAAGCACTAATAATTGTTTTAGTTATCGCTAGTAATATCACTGTTAGTACTATTCGTATTGTTATTGCAGGCTCCGACGAAAACGCTTGGCAGGGCTTCTTATTCCGATGAAGAGGAGGCTCTTAGCCCCCGCCTGAGCAGGAGATTGCAGACGTCTTCGCACAGGACCGTGCCGCTGTTTCTCCCCGCCTGCATGCTGTTGGGTGGTTGTCAAAATTAGGGTCCCTTCTTGGGGTCCTTATTATAATACGCGGCACCTATTATTTAGGGTGCCCCAAAAGGGATCCTAATTTTGACAACTACCCTGTTGGATGGGGGGCCTCCGCTGGGAGTCAGGAAAGGGGCCATCCCCTGCTGCGGCGCCGGCGGATCCTTTCTACGCGGGAGACCTGGGCGTGCGAAGGTAATTACCTTTCCACCTTAGGATGCGGCTTTGATAAAGTATTCGGGAAGTTTCGCATGAACATATTTGTTGTTCTCACGCACATATGTATATATATATATATGTATATACATATACAAACATTACATACATGCATTCTGCACTTGCGAAGAACCACTCGTCTAGACAAGGTCCGAAGATAGATAGATGCATGTGTACACAACAAGGCCAAATTGCAGAAGCCATCACGGCCGCTGAAGAGGCACTTGCTTGAGTGGTCTTGGGCACATTCCATCTTGGAAGCTTCAAATCTTTGAAGGCAATAGTAGCAACAATGGTAAGATTAACAATAGATAGAATACTACAATAACAGCAAAGCCTAAACCCTAAACCCTAAACTACAATAACAGCAACAATGATATAACCCTAAACACTAAACCCTAAACCCTAAACCCTAAACCCAATATGATATGGTCCCAAGGCTTCGGACCCAAAGGCCTCAGGAAAGGCAAGCCAGTTTTTTGCACCGAGGTTGCGGGTTTCCTGGTGGAATATGCTGGTGAATGCCAGCATCCCAGCTCATGCGATGAAGAGTTTAATGGTGACTCGGGTTTAGCTGGATTTCAGAGGTTTTTCCGCAATGGATGGGGTTTAACATCGCACATGGGGAGATTTATTGGGTGTTGTGGCCTGCACGAGGAGTCTCTCATGGAAATCCTAGCACCGCATGTCGATTCAGAACCTGGAAATCTGCTAAGCTGCTACCCTTTTGGCCCGATTCTGGGAAAGGAAGGCTGGACATTGGCATGTTGCTGTTGATGATGATCGTGATGACTATGATTCAGTTTTCTCAGTAAGTGGAGGGTGGCCAACGTCCCGAGCCACAGAGGTAGTATAAAAGTGCTGCTTAAAATCAACTCCACCTCCACCCTCAATCCCTCCACCCCTCCACGCTCCACCCCTTCACCTCTCCAGCCCTCCTACCCCTCCACCTCCACCCCTCACCCCTTCACCCCTGCGAAGCCGCCGGAGGTGTCTAACAAATCTGTTTAGGTATTTAATAAGCCGCACGTTGAAAATTAGTCACCGTCGCGAAGAGGAGGAAGAGGACAGTGCCCGCTCGAAATAGTGGTCATGCTGGTGATGATGAGGAACAGCAGGGTGGCCACAGCGACCCGACGATGGTGCCAATGTTGAGGAACGTATTCTTTTGCAGCTTGCGCTGCTGCGGTTGCATTCGCTGATGCTGCTGCATCTGCTGTGCTGATACTGTCGCTGCTGATTTTGCCACTGCTGCTTCCACTCGTTGTCGTTCGTCTGCATAGGAAGCCCCAAACAAACCGCATCACAGCCTATGCCTACCTGAAAGACATCCAAGCAGTACCCGCGGCATGAGTGCAACAATGGGAGAGAAGATACTGCAATGCAGCAGCGACAACCGTAAGAGAAGGACCACAGTGACAGGATGTGACAGGAGTGTCGGGTGCTGGAGTAACAGAATGACTCGGTAGTGCCATGGGTCAGGAATCGAGCCATGTTCAACGGTCCAGCATAGAAACATCAAGCCACTCAAGCCTCAGTTGGCCTGTGCATGCGCACCGACCAGAAGGCCCAAAAACTTGAAGCCCAGATCCTCAGCTGTAAAGTCCAGCCCTGAGCCGAGAACAGCACCTGGGCTGTGCCGTTCTTTGGGGGCCTGGCTGCTGTCGTGGTGGCCTCGGCAAGAATTTCGGTCAATCGTAGGTGACACTGGTGCCCGTGCTTGTGGTGGAAGATGCTCACAATAGGGATGCCGTCATGTAGGGTTGAGACTCGGGGCTTGCCATATTTTCGGCAAGTCTGACTTCCGCGAGCCCAGAGCTGTGATCATAGCGAGGCCTTTCTCTTCATGTTCAAGAGACGGAAGTTAGCTGCTTGAGCACCCAGGAGAGGGCTTTGCATGCAGCGCCCGTATCTCGGACTCTCTCTGTGGGCTCGCAGGACTGGTAACAAGTAAGCCGCTGTACTCGTTGTGATTTCTGCGGAGTTGATCGACGGGTTGGAATTGGCAGCTACTGACGGGTCTGCCAAGTTCGGCCAACGTTTTCGGGTTGTCTTGAAGCCCGAGCAATGGCAATGATGGTAGCAAGAAGATTGCAAGCTGCACAAGGAGTGTTTGCTTGTGGAGGCGACTCGAACACTCTGTAACTGCAGGCACACAGACAGCAAAGGGGATGTTGTTGAACCATCTCTTGCAGTCCCTTTTGAGGCTGCCGGACTACTCCGAGCCCTATCGGGACCGACTTCTGCGATGAACTGTCGTAGATTTTTCCGCACTTCCAGGGAGCAGAGCTATTCTCCGACTGTCGTTTCGGATGAAGCTGCGAGTGGTAACCAGCGTCAGAAAAGTTTCATGAGCTTCGACGGATGCAGGATGAACTTCTACATCAGGCTGCCCAGTCAAGGAGGTCCCAGAAAGCCGGGGCCCAATCCAGAAGAGTTATTGCCACTACCTACTATTTTTTGGGCGCCTTGCTTAAAACTTTAATAATAGTATAATGCACCCAATACCCTACTCTAACCATTCCTGTCGTGGCTTTGAAGCGCCAGGCTTCGCTGCTGTCGGGAATTCCGTTCTCTGGCTGAGATGCTTCTATGGGGTACCCGACGACGAAGTGTCCTTGTTGCGCCGCGCCGCTCGATGCGTCTACGACTCTACGACTTGCAAAGGAAAGCAGTCTCGCTTCACCATTGAACTCTGCCCAGGTCTTCGGATCCAGTTTTCGAGTACACGCCTGAGACAGCCCATCATGCCGATTTCCGTGCTGTGGCGATGTGCTTGATTCCGGAGACTCTGCGGCAGCGATATGAGTATATAGGGGCCTTAATAATTAGAATAGGGTTGTGAGGTATATTATACTCTAAGTATAGTAAGGAACCACCAAAATAGTATAGCCACATCCTCAGGTGCAGGGGGAGCCTGTGCTCAGTTACACGCTGTCCCGGGAGGCTTGGGCTATCCGTTATCCGTGAGATACCATGGATCCAGGAACTTTCAAGCATACTAGTGAGATTGTTGACAAGTTGCAAGCTCCCTAAACAAAAGACCCTAATGATACTCTAAATCCAGAATTCACATTTGCAGTTCATGTGCTCATGTGTATAAACTTTTATTATACATATATATATACACATGCATATATATATATACATACACCAATACACGTTTGTTGTCGATCTGCGTCTACAGATGCATACAATTCTTATCCGTGTAGTTGGCACAGACTTCTCTCCCCGACCAGGAAACTTTCCGCAAGGCGTGTTCCTGGCTGGTGGCTGCCGACAGCAAGTCCACCATCGAGGCGAAACAGAGGTTTCATCGAGCTAGCATTCTGTATATTTCTCAAGCATTCGGTGCAGGTTAGTGATGTGCAGACAGGCAGTTTTTGCCTTTTCGCATCCTGATCGTGTTTTCGCTTCACGGTAAAGTCCAGCAGTGCGGGCCTGTACCTATCACTAGACCCGATTTACGAAGCCCCAGACCCTCAACCCAACCGTCTGTTACTTGGGATCATTCTTGTACCTGCAGGTGGCAGAGCGACACTTCCGAACTTTCTACGAGGCAGGCAGGCTGGGTTCATTAGAGTGTATTAAAAGTCTTGACTGTCCTGTGTCTAGCATAATGTGCGAAGTCGACAGATCTTGACTTGACATTGCCGGCTTTTGTGTCTGTTATACACATGCCGATATCCTACTGCATGCGATGCAGCATCCACTACACGACACTTATAACACAGAGTAAAAGGTCTCGCATATCACATGTTGCAGTAAGACTGCAAGGACCTATATTAGTAGCAGTCGAATTGTGAACATGCGGAACTGCAGCAGCATTTCCCAGTCTCATGTCCATAAAGCCAGGCCAGGACGTCCGAGTCGTCCAACATAATAAAACTCGCAGGGGGAGAACTAGCACGACTAGTAATATGGGTGATGCATCAAAAGTGTAGCAGTAGCAAAACAAATACAATGCAAAGAAGCAGCTGTAGCTGGCAGTTGTTACAGTGTGTTACACTTACTGATAGTTACGAGTTACGACAGTTACGCGAACATTATTTCCACAATGCTTGGAACAAGCGGTGCTTCGTCAAAGTGGCAACACTAGCAAGGATCATAATAACATAGGAGTCGGAGCTGTTGTAGGAGGCGCACTTGTATTAGTTATGTACTCATCGTATTGGCCATGGTGCCGTGTAGTAATGGAAACAACCGTCGTCATGGCATGCTCGCTTGCAGTAAGAGCAAGAGAACACATCTGGATCTGCGAACTTCCGTAAACATCCGGGACCCTCCACCTCAAACTGCAATCCTTCGACCTCTGCAATGCGTGCACTTGGCTTAGTGCCAGGACTCTCTGAACCGGGTGTTCCAGGCAGCTGCTAGATGGCCTGTGCCCTCCGGGGGACCTAGATTCCTAGATTCTGTCGGATGCGTGCATGTATGCAGGCACGTGCATAGAGTCGGGCCAAAGCAGCCCATTGAACCGCCTCAGTCCTGTCATCGAGGTATTTGCCATGCTTCACCGCCTTGCGCTGCGGCCCCGGCTGGAGGTTTCGGAAACCCCCTCTCCACTAGTCCTGATGAAGCTTCAAGTTTATGATCGGAAATATTCTTGGGACAACTAACAAGCAACGGCAGCAGGAGTTCCCGGAACAGATGCGTATTTTCTGCGATATTTACGAAGTTGCAACCAAAGTGACTCCTAGTACAGAGTAGCAGACAGATGCCCAGTGCATGCTGTGTAGCATCTAACCACCAAAGATCTTTAAAAGTGGCAGACTTTGTCGCCAGAACGACGACCATCTGCTGACAGAGCCAGCGGAGGAGATGAGACGGAATCTCGGAGAGTACTGCAGACAGATGACTTCGTGAGTATGAGGCAGTGCTTTGCAAGCCGATGGCCACAGAGTCCTTTCAGCGTAGTTTCGATGTCCGAAGTCCACAAGAACCCCAAGCCTACAACTGGCCATCACTTCAAGCTGTGGGGGCGTTTCAGTCTTTTTGGCTGTCGGGCCTCCCGCCCTAACCCGACCAAAACCGAACTTTCGATCGTTTCGCAGTCGTCGGATTCACTCCTTAGTTCTGTCCTTTCAAACCTGGCAGCCACTTCCGGCAAGCCACTCGTAGCTTTCACTCGGTGGTTCCAAGTTGTAATTAGCAGCACCAGCAGCAACAGGCGCAGTTCACCGTTTCTTTTGCAGTCGCTCTTCTAGCCATAGCCAAGATTCCGACGCAGAAGCGTGCTCAGGCGAGGAGAACGAGACTCTGAGCCCACCCAGGAACGAAGCAGCGGGGGACCAAAGGCGCCGCCTTGCTCCTCTGCTTCTCTCGAGAAAATTTTAACAGGAATCCCGTCTGTATGATCTTTAGACGGCAGTGTAAAACCGTAAATATAGCCCAAAACCATGATCACTTTCTACTTTCTACGGAGAAGGCCCGTACATAATCAATTCTGAGAAGAGAAAAGAATGCTGCCATGTTCCGTCGTGCATCCGTGACTGGTGCGAATATGTGCCTTGTTCTTCAAGAGTGCCGTTGCCACTGTGGTAGCGGGGTGCCAGCGGGATAGTCGAGTAGAGGCAACCTGGTGATTCACACATATGCCTGGAAGCCAAATCAAAGTTGTCTTCTTCGTGTCGAGCCTGGACCTTGCAGATCCATGTTAGAGATGTGTGGTAGAAGTAAGGATGATGATGATGACCAGTATGACCGCGAGGATCATGATGAGGAAAGCCATAGTGGCCATAGTGATGGCGCAATGATGACGTTTAAAATCTATCAGTGCATAACCATCGCCACGACTGTTGCCGCTGTTACTATCTGCTACCGGTCCCCAAACACTTGCCACGTCGGTAGTGGAAGCGAAGGTTCACAGCGTAGCTTTCCGGCGAAACCAGGGACTTGAGCAGTTTTGCCCTAAATCCTAAACCCTAAACCCTAAACCCTAAACCCTAAACCCTAAACCCTAACTCTCTGCACTCTTATCCATTCGCGTGAAAGTTTTCAGGATGCCCCCTGCCAAAGCGCTGGAGTTCTATCGGGTGTACCATGCCGGCTCCTGAGGAGAACTCCGGACAGAGTTGGGGCAGGGAGGCTCAACTATAATATACTATAATATACTATATAATATACTGTAATATACTATAATATACTATAGAATATACTATAATATACTACCGCAACAGCAGCACCTTAGCGGCCTCAGGAGCCACGTCGGGTCTTCCGCTTATCTTCAGGCTCGCAGACTTGAAACCAAGCTCAAGCCAACGGCTTGAGCGAAGTACCAAGCCCAAGGAATGGCACTGTAAACAGGCCGGCAGTTTCCGAGTCAAATTGCTTGTGAAAGTAGCTCACTCCACATCGCACGTAGATCAGCGATCAAAGTGCTGTCGGAGGTGACAATGCGTCGCAACAAACGCGATTGTAGCTTGCTGCTGTTGGTCCAAGGGAAATGGAGTGGTTTATGGCTTTTTGCAGTGCCTTTGTCAGAGTCGGTTGTTGTCGGATCGGTTTGACAGCGTTGGCTTCATGTGCCATAGTTGCTCGAGCGATTGAGATTTCGTCAGAAATGTCAATCGCTCGAGCAACTATGGGACTCAGGAAGGCTCCGTTCAGCCCGACCCCAGCATCAGCATGGCGCACGGCCGCCGAGGAGCAGCCCAGGCTCGCGCCGGGTCCATCCGGCACTTGCTGAAGCCACCCCGCCTGGAAAAGGCCGCCCGTGAG